AGGGGGACAGCCCGCTTCACCATGGCCCGGGGGACTGTCTGCTCCGGTGCCTGGAGTACATCCTCCCCACCCCCCACCTTCACTGACCTTGGTGTTTTCACATATTCTCACTCCTCTCTCTCCTCTCGCTCTGCCAGTTGTGTGGTGCAGTTTTTTGTTCTTTTTTCACCCATTTCTTCAACATATTTTCACAGGGGCGTTCCTATCCTATCATCACTGATGGGCTCAGCCTCGGCCAGCAGCGGGTCTGTCTTTGGAGCTCTATCAGACTTAGGGGAAGCTTCCAGCAGCTTCTTGCAGAAGCCACCCCGCAGCCCCCCATCTACTGAAATCTGGCCAGGCGAACCCCATTCAGCATAGCATAATATCCTCTGACTGAAATGATAGGCAAATCAGTTCTTTGCATGTGTTCAGTCTTAGATTTACCAAGATATCTTATGCTATTATGCCTCTAAGTGGATATTTTCTAAATCTCTAGGCCGAGCATGAAACTGGTGAAGTTCCGAAAAGGAGACAGTGTGGGCTTGCGACTAGCAGGTGGCAATGATGTCGGCATATTTGTAGCTGGTGTTCTGGAAGACAGCCCGGCAGCGAAAGAAGGATTAGAGGAAGGGGACCAGATTCTCAGGGTAAGTCAAAAAAAGTAAGAGTACAAACGTTTTGTTGTACCAAGATACGTTTCCTTTCTGTTGTGTTTGTAGTTCATACAGGTTTTCCTCTATGTGTACTTACTCAATGACTTAATAGTAGCAAAATCTCCTATTACTATATTGTTGCTAGGAAAATTAGTAAGTTTTAAATCCAATTTCTTAGACTAATTCAGCTGATAAAGTTGTTTAACTGTTGGGTCACTAAATTGTCAGAGGGCTCTGTATGTTGGTTAAGTTTGCAGGTGCTATATAATATTGATCTGAAAGTATAAACTGGAACAGCTGCCTATTCTGGAAGCTGTTTTTTTATCGAGAAATAAAGTGGGACATTTTAGAGGTACAAGAGACACCTTCAGATACATGTACTTGGTGTGTATTTATAGAACTGAATGAAAAGAAATCTTAGCAGTAAGTTGATCTAGATTTCCCATTGTATAGTTAAATTTCTGCTACGATGTTGTACGCTGAATCAAACTGATTGCTTTGTTGATACCAGGTAAATAACGTAGACTTCACAAATATCATCAGAGAAGAAGCTGTCCTTTTCTTGCTTGATCTTCCGAAAGGCGAAGAAGTAACCATTTTGGCACAGAAGAAAAAAGATGGTAAATATTTGTGTATCGGGAGCAATGTAGTGAACTGCTGGGAGCAACATAAACTATGGCAAATCATAACAAGCTTCTGGCTTGCAGGAAATTAGCACCTTATGAAGACTTTAAAGATGATTCTTTTGACCTTGGAATAGGTCACTATTAAAAATGGACTAGAGGTTGATATTGTAGTAGTACATACACGCTGCCAAACAAACACAACCCCCAAACCAAAACAACCCGAAAACCCCAAATAAACCACCAAAAATAACCCCTGTCATCTGACGAAAGTATTGACAGTAGACCTGGAGGGGAACGAGGAGAGTCTATTGTATTTGTGCTGTTGAAAAAGAGTGATTACACTGATGTGCACGCGCACACAAACTGCTTTTCCAGTAAAACTCATTCCTCCCAAGGGATTTGTATTAAGCTTGCACTAGCACCAAATTTTTGACGATGAAAGTTGAGTTTATATTGGTAGGATTTGCTGTTGGTAGTTATGCTGCTCAAAATAGAGCAAGTCTGAGATATTAAGGCTTCTTGAAGTCATATTGTGTGTTTGTGACGAGTTGAGGTGAGGCAGTGCTTTGCAGAATTCTTGTGAGCATAAGGGCGTCACTTGAACTTACATGTTATATTTTGGAGTTTCTTTCTCTTTTTCAGTTTATCGTCGCATTGTTGAGTCTGATGTAGGGGATTCTTTCTATATCAGAACCCATTTTGAATATGAAAAGGAATCTCCTTATGGATTAAGTTTCAACAAAGGTGAAGTGTTCCGGGTGGTGGACACTCTGTACAACGGCAAACTGGGTTCGTGGCTGGCAATTCGAATTGGAAAGAATCATAAGGAAGTTGAAAGAGGTATCATACCTAACAAAAACAGGTACGATCTTAAAACACTTGAATTGCTGGTTTAAAACTGAAGTTTTTAGACTCTGCATCTGTATAATGAATGGACTTGTCTGCAGGATGGTAGTTTCTAGAACCAGTTCAGTCAAAGTGACAAAGCGTTAAAACAAATTGCAGTTAAATATCCACTCAGTGAATTTTCTTCTGACTCTTTTGCACTCCACAAAACCCCTTAAAAATTCTGTTTCCATACAAGAGATAAGGCTATATAAAGCTTTAGAAATGCGATACTAGGCTCAGTAGTTCAATCTTGTACTTTCTAATGCAGAAACAAAGCTTAGTTCAGCAGAAAAAAAGGATAAGCTTGCTAATCAAGCTTTACTTCAGGAGCTGACTTCATTGATAACTGGTTGGGATTTGTTGTCGTCTTAGAGCTGAGCAACTAGCTAGCGTACAGTACACGCTTCCGAAGACAGCAGGAGGAGATCGAGCTGATTTTTGGAGATTCCGAGGTTTGCGTAGCTCAAAAAGAAATCTCCGAAAAAGCAGAGAAGATCTTTCTGCCCAACCTGTTCAGACAAAGTTTCCTGCCTATGAAAGAGTTGTTCTTCGGGAAGGTATGACTTTATTCTTACTGTTTTGGGGCAACAGGTTTGTGTGGTTTGCTTCGTATTAGCCTATGGATTTAAGAGTATCTTGCGTTTGGTTTAAGCAATCAATATGTTTTGACTTTTTTCCTTCAATTCCAGCTGGGTTTCTCAGACCTGTGACCATTTTTGGTCCAATAGCTGATGTTGCCCGGGAGAAACTTGCTAGAGAAGAACCAGATATCTTTCAGATTGCAAGTAAGTGGGAGATCAGGTTTTTCTGCAGTTGTGAAACAGTCAACTTTATTTTGCTAGATCGCTTGTTTTTACTTTGTTACCTAAGCTGGTAGCGTGTTTAACAAGATGCTGACAATGTAAAGGAGCAAACTTAACATGAGCTCTTCCACTATTTAGTTGCTGATAATTCTCTAGTGGTAAAAGTAATGCTAGTTCTATTTATAGCCTTCTCAATTTTCGTTTTAATTTAGTACCTTGTTTTCCTCTTTCTAAGTGCTTCTGTAAAGGTGTAGTGATTTTTGTTGCCCAATTGGTGGGTAGGTTTTCAGGTATTGTTTTGAAGCAGGAGGAATGTCTTCAGTCTGAATTGACAATTGGAGCTATGAAATGCTTTGTTTAATGAGGGAATGCAGAATAATGTTGTAAACTTACAACAGATTTTTTACTGTGTCCTCTTTATCAGAAAGTGAACCAAGAGATGCTGGTACTGACCAACGTAGTTCTGGCATTATTCGTCTTCACACTATAAAACAGATAATCGATAGAGTAAGTATTCTATTATCACTGTACTTTTAAGACAAGTAAAACTGGTATAATCAGTAAAGTGTTGGCTGGTTTACATGTAGAAGAAGAACTAATGACTGTGTTTTCTTTAAAAATAACTTTCTCTCCATATTTCTGTTGGTTAGTTTAAAAAAGAAATACCACCCTTTTCCTTCTCCCATATTAATAACTGTAGCCTAGAAGTGGTTCTGTGCTTTTTTCCAGGGAGTGTTGTCCTCTCTCGATTAAGGCTGTTTTAAGCTGTTGCCTTTAGCAGAATGCTAATAGGAAACTGGTTATTTTTAGTTTAGTGCCTGCTTGCTTTGAGGAGTCTGTCTTTTTTTAAATAGGGCTTTAAAAAGCTCATAGCTGGCAATCAGTGGTCCGGTTCAAAATGTGTATGCCTATGTAGCCTGGTATTGGAATTGGTTTAATTTCTGTTGCTCAAGTAGAAAAAGAATTTGATTCAATATTTTGAAACAATGAACTCAAAGGTAATACAAAATAAATTTGTGGAGCATGCTCAGGAAAAATAAATCCAGTGGGTAAGTGATTCACTTTCCTGCTTCTGTCCCTTTTTGTTACAACAGGACAAACATGCTTTATTAGATGTCACTCCTAATGCAGTGGACCGTCTGAATTACGCCCAGTGGTATCCTATTGTAGTGTTCCTAAATCCTGATTCTAAGCAGGGTGTAAAGACTATGAGGATGAGGTTGTGCCCAGAATCACGAAAAAGTGCCAGAAAGTTGTATGAAAGAGCTCACAAGCTACGCAAGAATAATCACCATCTCTTTACAAGTAAGTAATTGGATATACTGCATTAGTGTTTCTGAGGGGTAGTGGAAGGTGACGAAAGAGTGACTTCCTCCTCTAGACTCTTCTGCAGATGGACCAAGTCAAGCAGTTGTTGACTTGTTCAGTCCCCATTCAATAACCGGTAATTCACTGATGCGTGCATCAAACTGCCCCAAACCTAAGGAGATCCAAAACATCAGAATGACCTTTCTAATAGATCTGGTGGTTTTGCAGGGTCATCAGCTAAAATCAGACACCTAAGTAATAGGAAGGTGATATCATTTTTTATTTACTTATTTTTTTAGTCTGGCTAAACTGAAGCCTCCCTTAATATTAAGCTACTATAAACTCAGTATTTCCTACAGGATAAAATGTCCCAAACCCATGTTGAGCCTTAAAGTTGCTTTGAATACTAATATTTACATTATTATTTAAATATCGTAGTTTTAACCTAACAGTTTATATTGCTTTTATTGCAATTAGTTGTGCAGAAATCGTAAGTCAAACTAACCTGCTGTACTTCTAGCTACCATTAACTTGAATTCAATGAATGAAGGATGGTATGGAGCTCTAAAGGAAGCAATTCAGCAACAACAGAACCAGCTAGTGTGGGTTTCAGAAGGAAAGGTAAGAAACAAGGTGCTTGGGGGAGAAATGACAAAATTCTGTTGGGAGAGGGTTTTGTTCTTTCTTACCGGTATTACAGATCTGGGCAGATACTCGTGGAATAAAGTTTGTTTTCCTTTTATTGTCTTCATTTTTGAAGATCTAAAGCCACAATTGCCACTATATATGTGCAGTTACTCTGTTAGAGAGCCGTGCAGTTGTGCCTGTGCACATACCAGTGTACTAAGTGAGAGTATTTGCCCGTTGCCACTGTCACCTGGGGGTGTGTTGTTGTGTCGAAGACTTTGTGGGGACTGGATGCTTTTTTGTGAAGGAACTTCCGGGTCTGCTGCGGCATCCGTGTCAGAGGCTGGGATTGCCGGCTCATTATTTTTTCAGTAATATAAAAGCAGGTGGTGTACTCGTGTTCTTTCTGACCTTTGAGAACTGTTCTCATAGTTGTGAGAACACAGATAGAAAATCATGGTAGTATTCTGTGTTCCCTACTAAAACTCCACTTGCCTTCTTGAGCTGCGTGTTACACTATGCACGTTAGATCCATCCTCTCGAAGAACTAGTATCGAGCCAAGTGCCAACTACAAGTAAGCAGATGTTGCTGTGTTTCTTAATATTTGGTTCATCTATTTCTGCTCAGGTTGAGCTCCTTTCACCTCCTTAAGTCTACCTTAAAGTTAATTATTCCAGTATTATGATACCACTTTAAAGTGCAGTTGTGTGCCTTTCCAAACAGTCATTTCCATGACACTATGCAGGAGATAGAATGATTCTGAGCTAGACTATGAGGAGATAAAATGATTCAGAGCTAGACAGCAAAAAAGGCTTTTAGATGTAAGCTTAACACATTTAATGATTGAAACCTGATTTCTCCTCTAGTGTGATGTTCAGAATTACTGCATTCTCATACTCTTGCTGTGCTGCTGAATTTGGAATATGACTTTAACTACCAGACTTCTCGTTGTGATTTAAAACAAGAAAGATGTGTTCTGTTTGTTCAGTTCTTAATTATTCACAAAAGAATTCCTAGGTTTGTGTTACAAGAAAATGGGCGTTGCTTAAAAGGTATTTCAATAAACACTGACTCTAATTTTGTTTGACACAGGCAGATGGTGCTACAAGTGATGACCTTGATTTACACGATGACCGCCTTTCTTACCTCTCAGCTCCTGGTAGTGAATATTCTATGTACAGCACAGACAGTAGACACACATCTGACTATGAAGATACAGATACAGAAGGAGGTGCTTATACCGATCAAGAACTGGATGAAACTCTGAACGATGAGGTTGGGACACCTCCTGAATCTGCTATTACACGTTCTTCTGAACCTGTTAGAGAGGATTCTTCTGGAATGCATCATGAAACTCAAACTTACCCTACTTATGCATCTCAAGCTCAGCCGCAGCCGAATCTCAGAATAGATTCTTCAGGATTTAAAACCACTACTTCTCAGCCGGTAAGAAAGTTATTTTATACACTGGCCACTGTACTTCTACTTCAGGTTGCAAGTTCTCTTGAGTATGAAACCTATGCTTGTAGTCTGCTTACCAGTGTTTGGAGTGCATAGAGGAATCGGTCAACAGCAACAGTAACATGTTGTTATGAACTTGGAGAATCAGCTTGCCGTACCTGTTTTAGCGACTCATTGTGACAGGAGGGGGATTGGCGTACCATTCTGCTTTGATTAGATGTTTTGCTCTTTTAATCTTCAATATAAATGAATTTTTTGCAAGTGCTAGTGCATGATATTTTTCAGGACATTTCATTCTACATCTAGCTGCATTGGTCAAATCATCACTGAAATTATTTTGATATCAAAAAGTCATACAGTGGTTCAATAGTGGTATATTTAAAATATTTTAAACACTTCACAGAAAGCAGAAGCCTCACCTGCAGTCCCTTACTTTTCCCCGTCGCCTGAATCAAACCCTGCAACCTCATCAACCTCTGCAGTAAATGCTAATGTAAACCTAACTAATGTCAGACTGGAGGAGCCTACTGCTGCTCCTTACAACTCTTACCAACCACAAGCGGGCCCCTTAAGAACATCAAGTACTGAGGGAGCTCATATAGTCCTAAGAGATCAAGAGCCATCATCCTTATCGCCGCGTGTAGAGCCAGCAAAGGTACCTGTGCCACGTTGTTGTGCCGATTTCCTGCTGTACATCAAGCTAGCACATGATCTTTTTCTTTTGCCCTTATTCAGAGAATTACTTCTAATTTTTTTTTTCCTGTAAGAGATCATGCAGGTTACAAAAAAAACCAAAAACCCAGTGCATCTGACTTGCTAATCATCATCTAATATTTTGTGTGCATGGCTTCAAATTATATACTTTTCACTTCTCAAAAAGATGACCTTTTTAAAAAAAAAGGCTGCATTCTGTATTTTGATTTTACTTTTCGTGTGGCTTTTTTTAGCTTGTGAATGTTCTGCTGCTCATTAATGAGGCCTTAAGAAAAATCTGTTGTTTCTGTAAAATTACACTAGATCTTTGTATATTTTAAATCATGCTAAATCCTTGATCATGAAGATGAATCTGCTTTGTTGGGTGGCTTGATATCCTTCCTCAGCAATGCTAGAACTAACTTAAATACATAAATCGACTTATCTCACTCTTCCCACTCTCTGCAAAAAAGTGTGTGCACCTCCCACCAACACCAAATGCCCAAGATGAGAGAGCATTACCTTTGTCTTTCCCTTTTAATTTTCTTAAGTGTATTTTTTGTAAAAATAGGATGGGAAGGGATGTCTTGAATCAGCAAGTCTGCTTTCCTGTGATTGCAACAACTGCATGCAATTATTCTGCTTTTAAATCTAATTAAAGCAAATATTTTAAACCTAGGTTTAAAACCAACCTAGGTTGGTTTAAAATATTACGTATCAAATGCAGCTGGTGTTGCTCTTCATTTTAACTGAGAAGTACGCCTCTCTATTTAACAGGTATACCGAAAGGATCCATATATTAACGAAGAAGTATCCAGACAAAGCTATGTCTTAAAACAGCCGGCAATTAATCACCCAGTACAGAGACAGGAAAGAGACCCAAATGTGATATATGAATCGCAGGCTCAGTATGCAGAAAAACAGCCTAGCAGGGACTACGAGCAGTCGACGTACAGGTATGATTCTACAAACTACGTAGACCAGTTTTCTCGTGGCTATGATCCTCGCTTACATTACGATGACCGTGTGCCTCCCTACGAGGAGCACTGGGCATATTATGACGAGAAACAGCCCTACAACCAGGCAAGAACAGCCTATGAAAACCAGCCTCCTAGGGATCTTGATTCCAGACAAAATCTAGAAGAGAGCACAGAACGCAGCTACTGTCCAGCACAACCTCGTTTTGAGGAACCCCCTCCCATGAGCTTTGATGGCAGACCTCGCTACGAGCACGCACCCAAGAACTTCAGCTTACCGCAGGTGCGATACGAAGATCAGCATACCGTTGGCTACGACACGCACGGTCGATTCAAAGCAGAAGCTCAGCCATACCAGTCAGCCATATCTGGATCTCCTGAACTGAAGCAGTACTTCGATCCGCATCTAAGGGGCTATGAACAAGGTCCTCCTCAAGCTTATAATGCTAAAGCTGGACAGTATGAGCCTTCTCATAGCAGTTCAGGTGTTTCTCTTCCTCCTCCCCCTTCATCACAAACCAAACCAGAAGTTTTGCCTTCTAACAGTAAACCACTGCCTACACCGCCATCTCTAGCAGAGGAAGAGGAAGATCCAGCCATGAAGCCACAGTCTGTGCGAAGTAGGGTTAAAATATTTGAAAGAAGAAGATCACCGTCTCTGGAAAAAATGAAGGACCCAAGTGATGCGTCAGCTGTGAAGGTAAGTCATTTCAGTTCTTTCATTGCTGCTTTTGGCTAATGAGGCTACGTTGCAAGAAGTAAAATCCTGTCTTGGAAAGAAAGTCATACCGCTTGTGCTCCAACGAACTGCAGCAGGTTTTGAAAGCAGAGGCCGAAAACTTCTGTGTAACGCTGAAAGGGATGTCGCCAGGCTGAAAACTCTGCCAATTCCTCTTTCGTTCTGTTTTTCCTTTGAGGGGAAGAGGGAGTGCTGGCAGTCTTAGTTTCCTTACTCCTAAAGAGCTGCACCTTTCTAAATGCTGGAATATAAGAGAGTATGCTGTGCTTTTCTTTACAGCCTCCAGAACTAGCACCTAAGCCTACGCTCACAGCTGTGAGTGGTCCAAAACCAGCTTCTCAAAGCCAGTATGAACAAGACAAAGCGACATACAGGTATATGCGCAACAATTTAAATTTCGGTTTAAAATTAAATTAATCAAATTAAAATTAAATTTCAATATGAAGACTGTAATACTCAGAAAACACATCTTTGCAGTTTTCAGTTCAAACCACTGAGTCGAGATTCAGAGTGTGTCAATGGTTTCCAGGTCAATAGGAAGGCAGAGTATAAGATAAATTTTAATGGATGTGATTGCTGGGAAATGGGGGAAAGACACAATGGGTTTTTTCAGCATTTTTCAGGAAGAAATTTAGCTGATATCTTCATCTCATATTTTTCTGTGTTTGAGATAATTAGAAAGTAAAACAAAAGGGGAAAGGTAAGGGAAAAGAGAAATAAAGATTTTCTTTCTTTCTCCTATGTCCCAGCTATGTAATTTCCATGCAATAAAAGTTTGGAAGTCACAGTGTCCAATTACAAGAGTGACATTCTAGTTGCTTTATTATGAGCTAGATTATAAAATAGAATTTTAATTTGGGTATTTATGCATGTTCAACTCTGCAAGGCAACTGTGTCTTATTATGATTCTTGATAAGGGCCCCGGAACCACAGAGACCTCAAGTGAAGCCACCTGAAGATATTGTACGTTCAAATCATTACGATCCTGAAGAAGATGAAGAGTATTATCGAAAGCAGCTCTCCTACTTCGATCGCAGGAGTTTTGAAAATAAGCCATCTGCACAGGTTCCTGCCAGCCACCATTCTGAGCCCACTAAACCAATACATTCACAGAATCAGCTGAATTTCACCAACTACTCTAAGTAAGTTGAGGGGAAATTTTATTTATTTATTTATAATTTTAAAGAGGAGGGAGGCCTGTAGGACTAAACCAGAAATTCTGCCTCCTCCAGTGGGATGCCAGGGCCATGCTCTCTGATTTGAAATTACTTTGTATTCACCAGGTCACTTCCTCTGTTGATTTAGTTTGAAAACACGTAACTGCGTAATGTTTTATTTTGGTAAATGAGATGAATGATTTTTGTGTGTTTCAAGACCTTCAACATGCTACTACTTTTGCTCGCCACTTACTAATAGAACAGAAAGTATTGCCTTAGTCTAACTAACACTGAGTTTTTCAACATCTTTTGAAGAAGAGGTTTTAATTTATTCCAGTTCTGCATGCATTTATTCTGCAGACACGCTTGTACACGTTTGACATTAGGAAAGTGAGCCTTTAGGGAATATTGCTGAGGCCAGAATTTAATCTATTGATGGAAACATCTGTTTCCTGTATTGTTCTGCTTCCTTGGTTTGGAACATTTTGATACAGAAATTGTGTGAAAGCTCATACACGGATTTAGCTCAGGTAAAGAACTGGCTCTCTTGGAGGGTACTTAAACTTTTGAATACTCTGCACAGTTACCTAAACTTCCAAAAATTGTTCTGATTCGAACTGTAACAATGTGTTTCTAGCTATTACTGTGAAAATCTCTCTCTGCTTGCTGCATGCAGCCTGAAAATGGGATGGTTTTGAAGGCTTTGGTTACATTCCTTTTGAAATCTGGGCTATTCGGGTCAAGTTGAAAATTTGACAACCTTAATGTAAATGATACCTTTACAGTGAAATAATAAGCTAGCTTGCTGACTTTCAGAGTGCTGAGTATATTTGCAATCTGGCTTTCAGATACTTGGTACACTGTGCTCTGCCTAAAGAACTTGAGCTAGGACCTGGGAATTCTGTTCTTACTTGCGTAGTGTTGTCATCTCCAGTGTCTTCCTCTGTGAACTGAGAAAACTGGAAGCTTTCCAGAAGCTTAATAGGTTCTAAAGGGTTTGCCTTTTTTATAATCAAGCAGTCTATTTAAATATGGTAGCTGTTTCTTGCTTTACTTTTTCTATATGCTCAGCAAGGAATGCGTAACCAGTTCTGATTCTCAGTCAAGGAAGTGTTCTTTATCCTTTTCCACTTGCTCTCTGTCTTCTAATGAAAAGATGGGAGCATGCCTTTCCTTCTCTCCAGCCGTCGTAGGAAGAGACCTAAAAAAAAGCCTTGTCTGGCCTCATAAAGCATTGCAGTAGCTTTCAGAATTCTGTTACCACATACAAAAACGTCATCCATATTCACCTGTAGGCATGGGCTGTATTGCCATCGTAAATATAAGTAATGCTTTGGGAGAAGTGTTGTTAAGCTCGCATGAAGTAGTTGAGAAGATAGTAAAATTTAAAGGGAGAGCATTGTGAACTTCTGTTGTGCATTTGTTGTCCTCTGCAGCGTTGTCACACACGCTGAAAAACAGGAGGAAGACAACTATAGAATTTTTGCTGCAGAACAGCTAGTAGCCGAAAGAGATTGTTCGGTGCTTCTGGCTGCCGTGACACTTCCATTCTTTGTCTGCTCAGTTCCAGTTTTATTTGGATTGTGAGTTAGTGTGTAACTTCAGGGCTTGGAAATGGCAGAAGGTGAGATCCTAGCGCCACAGAGGAGCAAGAAAAAATACTGATTTTAAAGCACTTAGTTTCCGATGTCAAGGGACAAAAATGTGTTGTGGTTTTTT